GCCTTTATGGAGCGGCACGGGAGGGTGTTTTTGTGACGGTTAAACGTCAGTGAGCCTTCAGATCTCCTTCAGATGTGTATACTCTGTCACGTCATACTGTTTCATTGTCACCCCTGCCATGCCACTCCCATACCCCAGGCATCGAATCAGTTAAGGTTAAGGACCTATAATCATCTAATTTTAACGTCGATAATGACTAAGATGCTGTTGCACAGAGGATGGCACATGGCGCCCATTCCATGCACATTCAACAATTTACCACACACATTACAAGTAGGTAAAGAATTCAATTAGGTAGACGTTTACCATGATGTGCCTACATATTATGTCTATAATTGTGATACATGCTATTTTGCAATAAAAATTAAAAGACTTGTCACTCTTCCTGTATGTCAACGCAGCCATTAAAAGCAGTAAAAGACATTGAATGCTCGTATACAGGTTTGGATTTGTTAACTGAGAAAACGGATCTTTTTCTTCATTGCTTTAATTTTTTAATTACTTTTCTATTTCTTAATGACTCCTATATTTATTTAGTACTCTAAGGCTTAGGGTCTAAGCGATAATAGCTAAGAAGAGTTTAGTGTAGCAGCCTACATAAATACACTTAATCTTCGTTGCTGAAATAGAGTTATGCAAAGATATTTAAAGTATAAAAGGTTATAGATAGAGTCTTTATAATGTCTCCAAGCCTATATGAGCCTCTTAGTACATAATTTAATCATTTCTCCGTTGTCTTATGCATACAATATTGGATCCTTTCGTGTTCTTATTACATCATATTTTTTATGTCACATGAGAAGGTAGGAAAAGAGTATGTTTTCCACAAAGAGAAAGTTCACAGGGAACTAAGTAAATTGTAAGGAACTAGGTCTCCTTCCTATCTAATTTGGTTTTTAAAGACAAGAGTGCATGTTCATGGCTTTTCTAGCCTACATTATTAGATGCATATAAATTGTATTTCTTGTGGGGCACATAAAAAGCTCTCAAAGCGAGCTCAATAGTTATACATATTTGAACGGGTATGTTTTAAAAAGGTTTTATACATTAAACGTTTAACTATAGCACAAAAGTTTTATAGATTAAAATCTGCTATCAGATGTCGCCAAGCCCCAGTGACAATTAGAAATGTAACACGGCATGGAGTAGCTGGTAATATAGCAATCAATAGCAAGTTACGACTTCAAAACTAATAATGTTAGAATGAAATATCACTCGTCAATTACAACTTAGAATTATTGTAACGGATATCGTATATTACCTACTACTTTGTAAACCAAATCGAACTCGTCACACTAGTGCCGCCGCAAAAATACCCAATACGTATAGGTATATCGGCATCGACACACTCGAGTCTTGTGTATCCAACTCTAGAAACTATGTGGTGTTTAGACGCAGCAAAGGTCTCTAGACGACGTTGTTTTTGCGGGGCCGGGCCGGGGCGGGAGCCCCCTCAAGGCGGCTTAGGGGTAAAACGGTGCCGTTTTCAATTTGCTTTATTTGCGCTTGTTTTAATAGCGCTCACTCCTTATTGCCCGTACGGGCGACCAGCCAAATTGCTTCGTGCCTGGACGCCTTTTGATTAAGAAGCCGCACGGAACTAGGCGTAAAAACAAAGTGCCCGGTGTTTGCTGGAGTGAGACATCCCGATGGGTCGCCGTTTTTGCTGATCGATTTCATTATTGTTTTTTAAATACGAAGAAAGCACTTAAAAATACTAAGGTGCGTTGGACATATTTGCATAATAGTATGTCGTTGTACGATTGGCGTTGGGTTTTTGTTATGAACACAAGTACCTACCTTCCAAGGTAAACACGACATAATATTTTGATCATTACGTACCGAACCGAAACACTTACTATTATGTGCTTCTATCAACGTATGTACACAAATTATATTTTGTGGTATAAATACGGTCATTATTATCAACACGCAGTACCTACAGAATTAAATCAAATATCCAAAGTCAAAACGTGCCCGAACAAAACGCGTCATTTGAATAAGACTCAATAAAGCTTTGCCCCAGTATTATCGATTTTATTGTCCAAATATTTCACATATAACCGATCAAACAGTAAACAAAGAGTGGCACACAGCCGGCGCTTGTAAACAAATATCCACGTCACATGAAATAATGAGCTGAGCGCAAACATGGTAGAAGATATTATGTAAACAAGCAAAGGTACAAGTACAGGTACAATTTGTGGTGCACGGCTCATTCAAGCTTCGGCCAAACCAACGCGTCGGCGATGGCGTTGACGACCACTGCGCAATAGATCGCTGCGACAATGAAAGGACGCGTTGATGTGAACTCATCGCTACAAATTCATACACGACATCTGCCGGGCTAGGATGCGCGCCGTGATAAAATCTTATCGATGATTTTAGACTTATCGTGTAAAATCGATAAAATGGCGCGATAAAAGCTTATCGTGGCGCGCATCCTGGGCGGCTAGGCCTGCATCGCCATCATGCAAGCAGACTGCACGCGTTGCTTTGACCGAGCCTGCAGTGTTACCGCATGTGTCAACACTGCTGGTCTGTCGGCGATCATTGTGTCACGGTGACAAATCGATTAATTTAATTATGGCTGTTAGGGGCTGTGGGACAAAGGTTTTTGTCCCTATCGGTTTGTCTGTGACGTGAAATACGCGCGGCGGTTTTGTCAATGGCTAGAACTAATAGCTAAATAGATATTTCAACCAAAAGCTCATTTATAATCACCAAAAAACTTTTCTCTTAAATAAAACGGACGTTTAGAATAAATGCTAACTGACAATTGAAAATGAAGCATACATGATTTAATTAAAAGCGTATATGTAGATAAATATAATTGTTTTGTCACAACAAGTAGTCTGTAGACAATGTGCGATTTCTCAAGAACAAGTCTAGCCACAACATTCGGCAAAAAGATTTTTAGATGCTTATCTAAAAATCTCTTTGGAACTGTTGATGCTTATCACAAATAATATTAACCTTTGACTACATACTTACCTACTTACAATATTTTTATTTTCCATTTGGATGGACTACATTTTAATATTTGAGCAGCTTAGTAAACTTCAAAGAAAATAATGAATACTAACTTTTGCCAAAGTACGCCGATAAAGTGTTTATGTGCCACTTAAATGCGAAGTGGTCGTCAGAATGTAATTTTTACTTATTAAAACATCTCATAAATCCTCCAGATAAGCTATGGTTTAAACCCAAGTAGCGGTTAAGTATTACTCGGAAGTTGACATCAGAATTTAAAGAAAATAAATGACGACTTAAAAGGCCACGAAATAAATTATAACGAATGTTGGCCAAACAAGATTGTCCAACATTGGCGCCATATCATTTTAATAAGCAAATTAATTTTCACGTAACGAATGTTGGCCAAACAAGATTGTCCAACATTGGCGCCATATCATTTTAATAAGCAAATTAATTTTCACGTGCCAAATATCGGTGTGTTTTTCAATAAACTGAAGGCCTATCACAGTTTCCCACTAATTGGGAAGCCATTTTGTTTTCCAGTCTGAAACTGCAATTTATCCTCCGGAATTTAAAAGCTTTTTGATGTGTAATTAACTGTGTACCTACGGCGGACAAAATGATAATCAGAGGTTATTGAAATAAAGTCATTCATGGCGAATATGAAAAGAATTACACGGTATGGGACGGCAACATTTTAATAACGCCGGAATTAACCGATACTTACTACTTTATGTGAGCGTGTACGCGCTTTCAATTAAGTATTGCCGTATTTTCTCATAAAAATAATGTGACGAAAAAATTTTTCGAAGCTACATATTATAGTGTTTAGCTAAGTTGAAATGGTATTTCTATTGGAAGCTTTGCTCACAGCACTACCGATATTTAATTTAATCAGTAATACAACGGCAACGGTAAAATAAAGATTGACCATGCTACCACTCACTAGTTAGTAGTGCTACCGGTAGGGCAAACGCAAAGTACGAGGTGGGTGTGGAAGACTGGTAAATGGTTAAAAACCACTGACCTAGTTAAGATAGCGGGAAGCCGCTAAATGCAAACGGCCTATGTCCGGCAGTGGAGACTTATTATGGTCATGGTTATGTTCGCATTTTATGCNTAAATCCTCCAGATAAGCTATGGTTTAAACCCAAGTAGCGGTTAAGTATTACTCGGAAGTTGACATCAGAATTTAAAGAAAATAAATGACGACTTAAAAGGCCACGAAATATATTATAACGAATGTTGGCCAAACAAGATTGTCCAACGTTGGCGCCATAACATTTTAATAAGCAAATTAATTTTCACGTGCCAAATATCGGTGTGCTTTTCAATAAACTGAAGGCCTATCACAGTTTCCCACTAATTTGGAAGCCATTTTGTTTTCCAGTCTGAAACTGCAATTTATCCTTCGGAATTTAAAAGCTTTTTGATGTGTAATTAACTGTGTACCTACGGCGGACAAAATGATAATCAGAGGTTATTGAAATAAAGTCATTCATGGCGAATATGAAAAGAATTACACGGTATGGGACGGCAACATTTAATAACGCCGGAATTAACCGATACTTACTACTTTATGTAAGCGTATATGCGCTTTCAATTAAGTATTGCCGTATTTACTCATAAAAATAATGCGACGAAAACGTTTTTCGAAGCTACAGATTTTTTACACAGTTTTTAGCTAAGTTGAAATGGTATTTCTATTGGAAGCCCGCTTTGCTCATAGCACTTTGCTCACAGCACTACCGATATTTAATTAGTAATACAACGGTAAAATAAAGATTGACCGTGATACCACTCACTAGTTAGTAGTGCTACTGGTAGGGCAAACGCAAAGTACGAAGTGGGTGTGGAAGAATGGTTAAAAGTGACCACCGCTCGAACTGTGTCGGCGTCGCAAAAAACCACTGGCCTAGTTAGGGTTGCGGGAACCCGGAAAATGCAAACGGCCTATGTCCGGCACTAAAGACTCATAATAGTAATGAAGATAATATTATGTCTGTATTATGCTAAAGACTTACCTCAGCCAATGTCTCTTAGCAATTGCAGTGTGACAGCAGATCGCGTCGTACTGGTCCGCGATCCACACGATGAGGATGATGTAGAAAGCCGTCGTGGTGTCGTTGAAAAACTCCGACATGATGGCTTCCATACCTGCGGACAAACAGAAATTCCGTCAGAATAATGTAGACAAAAATGCAACTCCGACGTATCACAATAGGGACTATGACGTATAATCAACACGCGAACTTAATTATTGATTTCAAACCTGCAAAACATCGAATTTCACAACCTTTTCAGGGTTATAATGAAGTGTTTTTAAAGAAGTTATGTTATTTTATGAATATGTAATTAGATTTATTATCAGGTCGTTATTCACAACAATTTATGCTGTGATTTTTAAGCATTTATTAAGAAAATTTCAGTATGTGATAGAAAAACGGATAGCTTTACCATTAAAATATTTAAAACATACCTAAGGTACGAGTACATGTACGAAAAATATCATATCTTTGTGTTGAGATTATTTTGGAAGAACTAATTAATCTTTCCGAACATACAATCTTGCATACAACCCACCATTGCTTATAATCTTGCAGCTAACACCCTGCACCCGAAAATGAGACACGATTTCGTCTGAGACAAGGTGCAGACGTATCACATTACGCGATAACGGTACTCGAGCGAATAAGCGGCACATCTCCGGAATGAATCGGTCGGGTCGTCGCGGTAATAAGCTCGCATCGGTTCAGGATCCAACGTTCGCAGTGTCGACACCTAATTAGGTTCACTCAAGATACATATCTGGTGAATCTCTGGTGTGTATCATTTCGCTGTTCGGTTGAGCGCAGCGGTAGTAATATTTTGGGCTTTGTTAAACATTATATTAAAAAGATATTACCGATGTTTAGCTCTACTTAAATAGCTGTTTGAAGATTATAAAACTAATAAGTACTTTTTTCATTACTTTTGTAAACGAATGAAATGAAAGCAAGGTCCGTTATATTGTTTTAACGAAAGCATTGTCGACACTTAGGCTGGGTTGCACCATCTTACTTAAATCACAAAAAAAAAACTTCAAAAAGTCTGTCAAACACCATACAAAAACACCGATCATAGTTATAGTTAGGGTTAAATTCAAAGTGGTATTTACAACTGAGACTATTTTCTTCATCTGCAAAATTTAAAGTCAAAAAGATCTAAAACAAGTCTAAAATAGATGGCTAAATCTATTTCCAGACTGCATTAAAGCAGACCTTATAAATCGTATCTCACATCGCGACCGAGCGGAATGAATCGGTCGGGTCGCTCGGCGGGCGATAATAAGCTTCTACCGGGTCGGTTCAGGTTTCGGTCGTTAGCGCGTAATTGTCGACACCTAATTAGCCCGAAGCCCGGAGCCGGATCCGGTGCGGTGTCGCTCTCACACATGACCCGCTGGTTTTAACTCGTCGGCTTCCGCGGACGGTGATATATCTTATGTTTTTTAATTCGTTCCAGTTTTAGATGATACTCAAATGATACTTAAGTAACAATCGTAGTCTCAAGTCATATTATTAATAAACCTATGATCGAATTTTGAGCTCTATTTTTTATTAATAAAAGCTTTTTCTAAGCTTTTTGTTTAATTGTTGTTTTTTCATATTTTTAGTAGGTTAAATCTTGCTACTTATTTTTAACAAGTTCCCATAGGTCCAATAGACTTATTGAAAATCGCAATTTGTACATGCACAGCTAAAACTTCATTCTCTCTGTCTACATCCTAAGAATTTGAATGGACAACTCAAAAACTTTTAGGGCGCAAAGGACACAGAATAACGCTATCTAACAGTAAGTTTGTCTCAAACTCCGTCCGTACAACCCGGCCGTATTAAGTGTCAAGCGCAGCAAATTACATATTCTCGGCGCAGCTGTCTGGTCATAATTCAAAAGCAGGAGTTAATTGAGTGTAGGAGAGCGGACACGACTAAACGTCGCCGGGCCGGAGTCGGAGCCGAGTCGGACTTCCGATCGGGTAACGTGTTTATTGTATCAGTGTCGCTGTCCTCATCAAAATGCAAATGAGGCCGGCCGCGGCGCCGGACAGCCCGTATTGAGTTATACCCCGCACGATATTCATGTTCCGAAATTTCAACGCCTAAATTTTGAATGAAATCGAGACAACTTGCGGGCCGAATGCCCAATGCAATCCGGGCGGTGATTAGAACTCGAATGCGTAATATGGTTGTGATTGGATTGAACATATCTCACAAAACATAAATAATCAACTTTCCAACATAACAAAGATATTGTTTTCTACCTGCTTTGACAACTACCTCTAGTTGCGTCTAGTCTATAATAAGCGTGATTTCTATATAATTTTAGTAGTAGTACCTATTCTTTTAAGAACCATAGTTTTTCTACGTCAAATCTTTTTTGTGAGATACCTACTTAATGTATGTATTTTCAAATGTTAAACTTGTAAGGTACAATGTGTGCAGTGTGCACGATACGTTTTTAGTTGGCCTATTTAATTTCAACATTCCACATTCAACCCCGTCACTAAACTTTACTTCCCTCAAACTGTTCGACGAAAAGTCAACAACATTGACGTCCAGGAGTCACCGGTTACCTATTCAGCGGAGCATGCGACGTAATCCAGAGTGAGTCGAGTAAACAAATTACCGGCGGGTCGGACCAGCGACGTGCCGACAACCGTGCGCTATTAATTTTAATTCCGCCGCTAGACGGAGATCGCCGAAGATGGGCGGGAGGCACGCGCGAAACTGTTAAGGAGTGTATTCAAATTGAGCAGAGGTCATCGGCACAGTTTGCAGCAATCGGGGGTTACTTGGACTTATTTGGTAGTATTGATTTTTACGTTTTTACGTGTCAGATTGCAGTGAGAAAAATTTATTGCATAGGTAATGCAATCACCATTAGGTACCTAAGGTATCTTAAAAACGAGCTATAGACTTTAATGCATAACACACGCTCGGAAAAATACACATTTTATAGGGACATAATGTGGCACCATTTAAGCTCTATGATAATCGTAGAGAGTCAACATAAGTCTGTTAGTTCAGAAAAGACCGGAATGAAATCCTACAGGTGACTGAAATTTAGATTTTCGAAAAGCTTAGACAAAGCTCAGAATCAAATCTTGCAATGTTACTGTTGATGCGAAGGCTCCGATGAGTATGCACCTTACGTCAAAATGGTCAGTATAAAGTGGCTGCTGGTATAATATAGTATGTACAAATAAGTATAGCTTGTATGTCTGTGCCAATAATTATGATACCGGCGCTAGACGAAGATCGCCGAAGATGGGCGGGAGGCACGCGCGAAACTGTTAAGGACTATATTCAAATTGAGGGCATCGGCCCAGTTTATGCCGATCGGGAACGCCTGGACTTATGTTCGAGAAACGGCTTTAGAAGCTGCTTGAACTAGTTTATTTTGAGCAAAATTGTGTCTACAAGATGTCAAAAGATTATACTAGGCTTCCAATTGTTAATTCTATCTATAGAAGGATGTTTTACTTAGTTTATACAAGTACCTATTGTACTGAAAATATAATACTAAAACTAGAAACATTCGTTCATCAGGCAGTTTTATAACATCACACTGGAAACATTGATGACCTATTTTAGTATTTCAAAAACAAATCCAATTTGGTTAATTGTTATCTTTGTCATTTCCTAAATAGAAAAATATTGTGAGCTTTTTTGTTCATTTATAATCTTTGCTAGGTACCAGTTTTATCATAGTATTAAATAACACGCAAGTCACTTTGAATTTAAGTAACAACTAAGTTAAATTAATAGGCTCCCTAAATTTTCAGGCACCAACTAAATACAAATCACAATACCCATTATCTGCCTACTTTAGTGAAGTAATATGAGCTATCGTTTATCCCAAACATAAGGTAATAATAACCTGGATATCCGACATCTCTGAGGTAATTGGAAAACGGAATACATTTCATCAGTCAGGAACAGGCGTGGCTGCAGGTGGTCGCGGGCCGCTGCGTCCGACGCGTGTCCGACGGGGGAACATGTTGCCAATGTTTATAAGATATGCCTGAATAAATCAACTTTTGTGTGCGTTACAATGTAAATTCAACACGCAATATTTTTGAAATATTTATAAATTACGTACTAGATATTTTAAGCAAAAAATAATGGCCTGTGTACAAATGAATTTTGAGTCTGCAGCGTTGCTTTGACACTATGTTCTTATTTTCGTGTTTACTTGCTCTTTGCTTCCTGAATCTCTGTACGAGTGCAAGCAATTCAAAAATATACATAAAATATTTTCTCCTAATAACAAACAAAAGATCATCAACAACTTTTGGAAGTCACCAACGAAACTGGCAACGAATACGAGTAAGGTACTTTGTTCTTTGTCCAGGTAGAGTATACAGCCGACAGCACATCAGGCTATGCATTTTTGTAGCAAAACAGCACTTATCCCAACTACACAAGATGCAGTGTTCAGCTGGACGTGCTGTACATTTATAGCAGTGCAGTGCAATTCCAGTGCATAAGCCGGGCCTGTAAGACGCACACAAATTGTTACTTCCACTTGCTAGGTTTAATCAAGGGGGACACCCGCCGCGTCGGTGCGCGGACGGTGCAAATTGAGAATAATGGACGCCACCGGTTAAGGCAGTGACACCCAACCTTTTCTATCTGGAGATTCCTCAAAGCGCACCCATTTTGAGGCGCACGTGAACTATTGCTCGAAGCGTACCTTACCTTTTTTTTGCGTCGGGAAATGCTTTGCGCATACCCACTGGCTGATAGGGACAGTCAGTTAGTGGGTTATGTTGGACTCTCCCCGTTGCCCAGGTATATCATATTCATCTTAGTAAACATAAAGTTTAAAATATTTTAAATTAGTAAACAGGTGCGCTTGTATGAATAGTTTAAGTGCGTTTAATTAGGAGCGCCTTAAAAATAGGTGCGCTTCAAAGAATACCTCCTTTTCTGGACCAAAGACCACTTGATTTTTTTAATGTTCACAGAGACCATGCCATATAAAAAATAAGCAAGACATATTTATTTAGAAAATCAAATACCCAATCGAGTTATGTATGAATGTGATTTTACAGAAAAATGTACAACTGTGGTTTTTTTTTAAGAGTCATCGATACGCTTAGTGCGAGCTGG